ATCAAATGAGGTACCAAAGTTACGCCAATATACCTAAGGCTACTAGCCTCAATTCTCGTCCACAGCCTTGCTGCGGAACAGTGATTGCGGATGAGGAAAAAGCAGACCAATTTCCATCCGAAAAGTGGACGTTTAGATCACACGTCACAGGTACGGTGTTCCTGGATATCAACAGCGTGTTTTACTTAATCCGTTGGTCGATTATTTTCGACCTACCTGTTCGGGGAGGTGTTCCCGTGAAATATGTAAACATTCCACATGTCATGTACTCGAATCCCATAGGTCGCGTCAGTGTCTACGGTTAATTGTCGAAGGTGTTTCCGATGCTGAGTGGTGTTCACTAGGATCGTCCGTACGTTTGTACTTTTACTCAGCCTTATACTAAATTATGTCGTGCTGTGGTTCTTTGCGAGAGCTCACGATGTGTACGCTAAACTGCTGGCTGGTGGATACTTATTTGATCTGTATTATACGATCGGTATCGTCTTACTGCTTGAAAATTTTCAGACAGCACTGTCAACCCCGGTTAAGTCCTCGGGAGCGGATCCGTCTTTTAGTATGCCTGCGTTACATTCCATACCCAAAATGCTTTTATAGGACAACCATCACTTGATCTGCCCTTGACTTTTGAAGTCGAGGCGACTGAAGTAGTTGATGAATTCAACTCTCTTTGGTATGCGCATTAATGGCGATGCACATGTGGCTGATGAAGTTGGTTTACCTGTTGTCTAACCTTGAGCCACCATGAAACCGTGACCTCTGTGTAATCATAGGGAGTTCTCCTCCGTATGAATAACCGTGTGTACGAAGTCCAATTATGCTCGTCCCGCTCTACGAGAGTGAGATTTGCCACGCTTCCAGGTTGGAGATTTTGTGGCGCCTCATATGCTTTGATTAACGCCGTCTGCGAAGCACTGGCGATGTATTAGAGCACCTGCGTGTCTACTACGATTATGTACACAGACGAATATCATGCGGTGATCATGGTGGTTTCTTTATATATAAACTAACGTTAAACAAGTTGGGCTTGTTTGTGTGCGTGATACGTGTGACCGGTAAATACCTATCACGGAGGTCGTTTTATTCTTTGGATGTTAAGTTACGTAAAGCTAGGTCTCGTTAGCCCGCAACGTTCCGAATTTGAGTGGCTACTCTGCGCGCGTAGCGCACTGTCTTTGATGAGCGTTCGTTTGTTCTGATTAAGAGTCCAAATAGCTATTGACGCTTTATAACGCTTTCTTAACATTCAGTTTAACTGAACTTTTCAAATTAATTAGCAGTTTTGTCAGATTATATCATGCGTGTGAGCATCCAGTTTACTTGGTGAACACGTATATCATAATGTGTACACAAGGATACTTCTCCTAATACTGCTATAAATCGAATGCCTTACCAGCACGCATTGGACGCCATGTTTGACAATAGCCGATGTATGTTATTCGCTTCTTCGATAACCCTCCCATGCAGGTTTCCTTAACTATTCGGCATTTTCTTTCGTCGTTGTCTCTTCTGTTCTTCATTCTACTTCTTGTCACCGTTTGCTACAATTTTCTGCAATACATGTGTGTCCATTGAGCACTGTCGTATTCGCAGTTCCCTTTGTTTTCTTTATTGGCTTTTGTCATGGAGACAGTGGCTTCTGACAAGACAAAAAATGACCAATGGACTTACGGCCTCTTAAAAAGTAGCGCCTTGTTTGCCAACAACTGCAGTCTACTTAATGTTGGAGAAATATATTATCTTGCCTTAGGTATCAGTAATACTGTCTAACCTGATAAATATAAATCCACAAGAAGCAGTTAAAGCCATACCGCTAAGCAACTCAACTACATCGAGTCGAGTAGTTGACATTGTAGGACTAGTTAATACTAGTCCGAGACGGTGCGCGAAAGTAAGCGCGGATATCAGAAGGCAATTAGAGTCGGACACAGCGGACTGTATTCGATGGGGCTGCAACAAGAAGCGGACAGATGAAGCGAGGCAAGAGCCTACACGTGAGCGCGGGGACTTACAAGGCAGTTGTGTGTCGAGCCGGTTGTAAGATTAAAACAAGAAGGAGTAATGTACAATCGGTCAACAAGTAAATTGTACACGAAAGATAAGAGTTATCTTTTGGGCGCTACAACATGGATGAAGACATAGAAAGTGCCTCCAATTACTTTACTACAGTTCAGCAAATTTTTGTTACCATTAAATAAATATACTTTACTTGACAACGACGCTCTTCTCGCGTCATATATCATACGACAATGAATTAATGAAAAAGAAATGCTGTTTGCCACGAAAGGCCAGTCTATATTTGAGGCAGTCAATAGCTATCTGGATGTAGAATCCATCCCAACGCAGAACACAGTTGCATGTTTAACATATGGTACTGCCGCAATGGTCGGAAGATATAAAGGATCTACTGCCCATTAAAATATGTTTTCCCTTCTGTCCGTACAATTCACTGCGATTCATCAAGAGCACCTAGTGGCTAAGAGTTTGGTAGGGCGCCTAAACTATTCACTGTCAACTGTTATAACAGTAGTCAACAATATCAAAGCGTACCCTCTTCAAAATCGTCTTTATCAGCAGTTGTGTGAGAAGAACAGTGAAGATGTCCATGCTCTACTGTTGCATACAGAAATTAGATGGCTCTCCAAGAGTAACTGCCTTAGCCGTTATGTTGCACTCCGGGATCACCATCATTACTGCTTTCTGGAACTACTTATGAAAGAGAACTGTTAACATCTAGGCCAGAGATTTTTGTCTGGCTGGTGTTTGCGAAAAATTCAGCTTATTAAAGAAAATCATTCAAAGCAATATAAGTAACCTCACCTTAAGCAAAGGAGCCATTATCGCGCAAAACTTTGGGAATTATCCGTTTGTGCTTCTGGCTACAGTCACGGAGGAGCTGAAGGATAGATACTTGGCTGTTTTTGTCAGTCATTTACTGCAAATCAAACAAGAAATGAAAGTCAGGTTTCCTGAACTGATTGACATGGAAATCTCTATTTGGATTTTATATTCATTTGAAATACAGCCCTACGATGTTGGGTCCAAATCCTGAAATGTCTCGCAGAGCTTCAAAGTGACACACTAGCAAGATCTAACTTCATGCAATATAAAACTATTATGTGAACAAAGACGGATGCTCCGAACAGATATCCCAGCCTATGTGAAATAGCTGAAAGATATTTCCTTGCTTTTCCACCCTCATACTTGTTTGTATGTGGTTTCAGTAGAAGAGTCTCGCTAACAAAATAAGAAACAGAAGGGACTTCCCAGAAAGTGGAGCTATTGTTACTCTCGTTATTAAGCCTGGAGCCAGGCATAAGCAAACTTGTTCAGGGATATCAGCCTGAATACTTGCATTAATATTTCGACAGAAAAATTGCTACCACGTTAATATTTAGCTTCATTCATCATACACTTTACAGTTAAAAGCCAAGCAATATTAATTATTAATGACACGTTTGATTACAGCTAAGCCGCTTTATGTTACCGCATAATGAATTATCCTGAGGATGTGAAAGTCTGAAAATAAGTTATATTAAGAAAAACTGTGATACAAACATTAAATATTTAGTGAGCGTAGTAAAAGATGCTAATGTGACCACTGAAAATCACAGATTTACGTCTGCTCGGTGTTGCGGATTGCTGCATCTGTGATGATCAAGGGTGGGGGCCATGAAAGGTGCAATGGTTCCAAAGGGGGCCACGACCGAATAAAGGTTGAGAATGCCTGGTGTAGTTGACGCAGGAAAAGCAAGTGAACCGCTCGTCACCATTATATCATGCACCAGGTTCCAATGGTTGGGTCAGGTATAGCCAGCCCACCGACTTTTGCGTCGTGCTTTGTTTGCGCGCCGAGTTTGTGGATAGAAGAAGTGGTGGAGAGGTCAAGCAATCACTTGGTCCAGGGGAATGAAATCACTCACTTCGAATTTGGCGTTGTTTGTTGTATCGGAAGGATGATAAACGCCTCCGGCTAGATACACTAGCTGACATGGAAAGGAGCTGACTTCAGCGGCGTTTATGTTGTGACTTTCTTTATCTTTTCTCATCCTGCTTATCTTTCTCCTCTAATCACGCTGTCTCTCTTGAATCTTATTATGTTACAAAGTATTGTGTTTCATGTTTTCTGCGTTCCATACTTTTTAGTATTTTGCTTTTTCGTATGCTTTATCTTTGTATGTTGCGGGACAAAAGTTGAAGCATGCCTATCACCTTCAGCTAATGTCTGGTGGTGATGATCGCCATCAACGGTCAACGCAGGAGGCGACCCCTGGTTACCTTTTAGTCGGACATTGTATTTCTAGGGTGCGAAGCATACCCCAAGGCGATTAACAGCCAATGCCAATTTGTCCATACTGTTGGGCACATCAGTAAGCTAACACAGCAAAATGTCGTTGGGTGCTCCAAGTCAAGAAGTCGACCAGACGGGTGGACCTCCACACCTTTTAGCTCGTGTCCAGTGAACGCAGTTTCCATAAATTTGTCGGTAGCGAAATTAAAAAGGAAATGTGAAGGCCTGGCATAGTTGTCTCACATTGCCGGAGATGACGAAAGGCGGCAACATGCACGTACAACGTTGTTACGAAATTTACATATCTAACGAGAATGCCTTTCCTGAGAAGACAGACCCCAAATACAAATCGCTGCACTGAATTAAGGGCACTGCTGATGTCTAGGAAGACGACTACAGCTGGTCGCCAAAAATTACGGCGGTACTCCAGTAACTAGCATATATGAAGACGTAGTCCGAAGAGCCCCGACTTTGTCGACACACTGCTACGGAACAAGATACTATAGAACATTTGCACTTCAAATGGGGTTAAATTTTAGGTTTACAACAGCACCGGAGTTCTGTCAATTATCCCTATACACGACACTGGCTGCCCAGTCTCAGTGTCTCTCGTCACATGTAGTTCTATTTATAGAGAATTCCATTTTATGCACCGCCCTAAGCTTGAATGTCTTATCCAATGACTCACGGCAATGTTTTCTTTCTTCAGCAGAGTTCACTGCCAAATTTAGCCTAGTTACCTTAGAGTTCTGCTGTCCAATGGTAAATGTTTTCAACGTCCACTTCTAACCGCATCGAATTCAGAATCCGCATAAGAAGGAATTATGCTTTGGAATATTATCGGTGATTGGCGGTATGCTAATTCACTTTACCTTCGGCCACTTTTATACAGTTGGTACGTTTTATTTTTACCGTAACTGTAAAATAGCCAACATGGTGCCGTACATCATGGGATATATAAAGGCGCGAGTTCAATCAGATGTCAAAGCTGAACTTTCCATTTGGCTCTCCGCCCTTGCTCTTTGTGTCCAGGGCATTTCAATGCCACTTGGCGGTATTTTGGCTAGAAAGTTTGGTTACCGGTGGGTTGTTGGCATCAGCTGCTTGATGGAAAGGTGAGATTTGCTCTTTCTCATTATTGTAGAGTTACATAAACGTGTTTTCAATCAAGTGAACTCCAGCTATTCTCCATCGTACATTTTCTGTAACATTTGGCCAACTAAATCTTTTAAGAGTCGTCACGCGTTCGACTTCAGCAATGAAAGCTCGGCTCTCTGTTTAGACGCATTTGAACATGATTCAGTGTGCTTGAATGATTTGGTATGTATAATCTATACCGGTACCGCATTTAAACTACCCACCTATCTTACAGCGGCGGTGTTGGCGAACACAGCAGACTTTAATGACCAAAACTCACTTTATATCTGGTCCAGCCACACGCAGAAAAACAGCTGAACAGCTGCTTACAAGTTTTTGCACTCATCACGGGCTTTGACTGAACATACATGGAACATACCACCACTTCTGAGCGTCACGGACTAACTAAGTGTTCGGGCAATTCAGGTGTCTGGATGTGTCACGTCCTATTCTGATCCCATCAACCATTAACGTAATCGTTAGACCACATATGGTTTCTAAACGCTTCTTACCTATGGGATGTTAACATTGCCATGTGATTTAGGGACACGATTCATTACGCTGCTCTACCGTTAGGTCTCCTGCGTGGGTACTTAGTGATCAATTTTCATCCTAGGTTACGGTTTGGCCTTCACTACCTGTATCCTACCGAAACGCAGATCGCTGTCTCTCCAATAGTTTGCCGTTTCAGTGTGAGACACTTGCACTTCCTTAACTATTTGTGCGCATTTATTTATTTGACCTGGTAGCCACCGCATGTTTTACTTAGGCCTGGTTAAACAAAAAATACGGTTAACCAGCAACGCTATTTTGTACATAACGACTGTATAAAGTGTGTGCATGATATTTTACCCGGTCATAACCTTGACGGCACGTTGAGGACGTATAGTTGTTCTTATATCGAATCAACTGCGTTCAGCTTCCAGTCCTTTTACTTGACAATTTCACATTTGTGTCCGTATTTTCTCACTCCTATCGTTTTCGCCAACTTTCATCACATACTTCCGTGCTTGTACTTAAGTGACGAAATGTTCGTTTGTGATCAGATGATGGTAGACCTTTCCACTTTCTCTGGGAACGGCCAGTTTGTTCGTAGGGATTTTGCATTTTTACGAGCTCTTGACATGACAGGAGCCAAGAGCAAAATGATTCCTTAGAAGATTTTACGGCCTGTACGTAGTTGGTCAGTGGTTTTGCAGTAAAAGTGCACATAATGTTGTTAATTGCTAATGTAAAAACACGCTATACCATGTCTCCAAACATATAGAACCTTGATGTTGTTCTATATTATATTTCGTGAGTGGACTGCATCCTATATCTTAATTTATCATTAGTATATGGTCACATTCTGCTGTTAGGGATTGCACAGTTAATTCTGTTGTTTCTCTTGCTTTAATTAAAGACGCTAGTCTCTAATTAAATAAATCGCTTACTGTTTTACCTTGCGAGCATGTCTACTTGGGTTTACTCATGGTAAAACAAGCATGAAGGATGGATAATTTTACAGAAATGCTAAAAGTAAACCGGTTACGAACAGGATTTAGTGTGCATGGCGCAGTTTGATCACGAAGGCAATTGCCGAGATGCAAGAGAAAGCCGTTGTGCATGCAGTAAAGAAGCAGCAAGTGCGGAAGCGACAGGCCCCATTGGGGTGTACTCCATCGACGTCGAGCGCATGGTGTTGTGGCACACGCGGTCGCGATTGCCTGAGTCAAGCAGATCTCGTGAGCCACGGGCGATGACACTCGGGACGAGCATGGAAACGACGACAAGTGCTGCTGAAAACGTAAGCAGGACGGGCGCAGTGTTGTTAGGTTAACTGCATTCAATGTACTAACTGCGTGCTTAAGTCCTTCAGATCGTAGTTTTGCTATACTAATAAGATTTTTACCTCATTATAACATCTACCTGAATATCATATTATTAACTCGCACACGTCCATCAAGCTAATTGTGGTGAATTTCGTTTACTTTTTCGCATTTGTGGTACAGTTTTCTTTTAAATGTATTTCCCTGACCTATTGAACCTATCGCAGATTTGTTGCTAACCCAAGTTATTTCATATGCTCGTATTACATGGAGTTTTGTTAGCATGTACTTATGCTTTATTCTAATTCTTTTGTTTGATACCGTCGTTTCAAGTGATTGACTGTTGCTTTACATCCCAGATGTGGCTGTAATTTATGTGCCTACCTGTTTATTACCCACTAATACGTCCATTCTGACTCTAGGAAACAGTTGGTCGTTGCTGGAGGGGACGGAGTGCAAAGTCTTTGTTGCCGTGCTAGGCTCGAAGAGCGATTCCATGCACTCAGTGTGGAGCGGACTATGGTCCAGCCACCGCCTTGTGTGCGCTTGACTCCCCAAATAGAGCGTGCTTGTGTTTTTCTGTGCAAGAGTGTGGGCCGGCTCCGTTGATGAAACGTGGCTCCCATCCACTTGTCTCCCGGTGTCATTCCTTCGGGTTTACACTGTATATGGGGTGTGTTGATGGAGCTGTGTATGGTGCAACTCATGCCACCCATGGTCCCTCTGTAGGCGCAGGCGTCCTGTAACTGACCACATTGACAGGCAAGTCCGAACCCGGTTGCGGCCAACCATTTATGTAAGCCCATGGAGCGATAAAGTTTGTGGTGGCGAGATCCTGACAAATCGTTTACCCGCTGCTGCGAATGTTGCACTGTAGGCTGATGTCCTGGACGCCTCTTTATGGCGATCGCTGGATATGAGTTGGGTTACACTCTTTCTATAGCTAACATACAGACACACAATTCCGCGTGAGTGGGTTCACTGACTCATGGCATTCGGCTCGCTGGCTTTCGGGTGTGTTATTTATCGAAGGCTTTGCTTGAGGACCCGAGTCCTTCTCCTGTCAGTTGTGTACGCCCTGGCAGTATTCCAGCCTAATCTCCCTACTACGAAGTACGCCTATAATAATATATCCATCCTGGATCGGCTGTCGCGCAGCGGTATTAGGAAATGGGTCGCCTTATCTGCTGCATACAGCCGGGTGAATAAGCTACAACGTGCTACTTATGGTACCCCTTCTTTCTGCTTTTCTTGCACCTACTCTACCCGGCCACCTTTTCTCCTGAACCATTACTTCCTCCAACCTAGCTTTTAACCACCTACCGTTGCTCGCAAGCAAAACGGTGCTCCTCTGCGCATAGCGCTCAACATCGAGTGATGGAATATGTGTACACTACTGCACCGGAACTCGAGTGAGCTTCCCGAGTGACGCACTGCAGTGGTCGCGATAGAACTGGCGTGCAACAGCATCGATATTGCTGCACTCAGTGAGACCCGGCTCGCGGAGCAAGGCAAGTTGCATGAAGTGCCGGCTATACGTTTTACTGGGTAGGAAAAACCATCTCAGCACTGCATGATCATGGCGCTGGATTTGCACTATTCGATCGCGTAAATGGCCAGCAGCTGGGTGAGGCTACTGGCATCAGTGTGCGGCTGATGACTGTTCGCTTATGACACAGAAGAAGTAAGTTTATCACTGGTATAAACACGTACTGTCCAACCATGTGTTATATTGATGACATGTGTACTCAGTTAAAAACTGAGTTAACCTCCGTGCTACAGTCGGTGCCGAAGAGCAACCGACTACTTCTGATGGGTACTTTCAACGTGCGCGTTGCGCGCGACGCTTCAGTGTGGACAGAAGTTATCGGTCCGCATGACATTTGTCCAACGAATGCGAACGGTGACAGGCTGCTCTCACTGTGTGCCACTCATGGCCTGATAATCACGAACAGTCGGTTTGCACTGATTGGCAGTGATATAGCGACTTGAACACATCCACGGTGTGATTACACTCACCTGCTCGACTATGTCATCGTACGTCAGCGTGATATGCGTGAAGTGCGCAAGACACGTGTACTGCGTGGAGCTGAGTACGGCACTGATCACAAATTGTTTCAGACCAAACGGTACATGTAAATGCGTAAATCTATGTATTGCATTCCCGCCGTGAATCGGCGCAAATGTAACCTTCTCTCCCTCGGTACTGTGGCGAAACCTATTGGACTGGAGAAGGCGATGGCTGCACGCCTGTTTGCTGTGGACGACACAGACACAGTGGGCTACCTGTGGCACCACGTTTGAGATCAAATGACAGCTGCTGCCGGGTAGACCATCGAGCGCACAAACTGTAACCGGTCTTCTTGGTTTGATTGGTGCATTGTTATGCGACGCGAATGCAGCATTTGCTGCACCTGTGGCCGACCGCATTGACTAGGGGGAAAATAGTCAGCTTCGCAAAATTCGAAGGTGACTGACTCAAGATCTCTGTCGCGTTAAAAATGTAAGGTGAACGAAAGAGACGAAGCAGGTGGAGTGCTGGCCGAACGCCGCTAACGCCGCGGTTTATAGACCGAAGTTGCATTCGCTGAAGACGCTGATCGATGGTGGTCCAGGTTCTGCCTGTACGCAGAATGCAGGTATAATGCAGATCTGGTGTAGTCACTTTGCTTGTCTCATGGACTATCATTCGGAGGTTTACTTGCCTAAATTGAACGGCCCGATACTGCACGAAGTGAAGGTTGGTCTAGTGGACACACTGACAATGGATGTGACGCAGAGAGCACTTACTCAGCTGCGAAACGGGAAGCAAGCCGGTGCCGACGAGCTGGAGCCTGAAGTATTGAAATACACTAGACCCGCCTTGGAGAATGCACTACAACAATTGCTGCAACGCGTGTGGATATAGGAGGAGGTGCCTCCTGAGCTGGAGGATGCCCGTGTGCTGCAATTCTACTGCGGCAAGGGAAGCAACCGATGTGCAGGGAATTATCGTGGTATTAAGTTGCTGAGTTGGTTAGGCAAGGTAGTTTCCCGAATCCTACTCAACCGCCTTGTCAAGCGGGTTGCGGAGCCGAACGTGGCGGGAGTGTAAGTTGGATTCCGTTGGGGTCGCAGCGCCATGGATATGGTGTTTGAGGCTCGTCAATTGTATGAGAGGTGCAGAGAGG